ACATCTCAGACATAAATTTGGAAATTGAAAAGAGTCACAGATTCCTCTTACATGTGGTGTCCTTATTTTGGAGTCCTCTAGAGATAATAGTACGGATTTTTGCTGTTCCGTGACCCTTAGCCCAAGTGCCAGTAAGTGATCCTTGATATGTTTTAATTCAACAGGATGGGGACAGCCTCAGTGTCTAAGGAACTTGCAGCCCAAAGAGTCAACTTCAGGATGCACTGTCAGTTGTGCAGACTGGTCTGTATTGTGGGGAGGAAAGTTAATACCAGTTTTTGATTTGAATAATTACATCCTACCTGACTTCTGCGTTAGGTATATATACACCTCCATACTCCTAATCCTTAGCCATTATGAAGTTGCAGCCTGGTCTACATAGCACTGAACTCAGTGGACAATTTTGCTTTTTTTTTGTTTTGTTTTGTTTTCTTGGCACTTGTCCAGTTTACCAACAAAGTAAATAGTTTAATTCAAGTTACCTTGTATTTAGGCAGCTTTATCAAGGCTTTAATTAAGACTTTTCTTTTTAATCACTTACATTCATGATGTGACTTGCCTTTTAAGAAATCTTCAGTCATTCCAGTCATTTCTCCTTTATTCTGTAATTATTTTAAGTATAAATTAGTCAGATTTACAGCCTGCTGACTGTGTCATTATTTTTTGTCATTATTTGAGAAGTGTACATACTAGCATATTTACTGTGTCAAACTGATGGTGGATAATACAATTATATGCTTTTTTCACTGATATCTGATCTGCTAATTAACTGGAAAATATTTTGATTGGGGTGACTGCTTACCCAAATTATTTAATTGTCCCACACAAGGCCGTCAGTAAAAATAAAAAAATAAAAAAATGGAAATAAGCTTATGAAGCTCTTTGAGATTTCATGTGAACAGCCCTTCAGCTTAGCACTGGAATTAGAAAAACAGAGAAATAGTGGGAGGAATTTGTAGCCTGCAAGAAAATAAATTAGTTCCATTTTAATTTCAATAGAGAATAAATGTACGATCACTTAGGTCTTGTCTATCCCTTTTTCTCTATTAGTTCTTTACAAATCTTCATAGCAAAAAGTGTGTGTGTGTGAAGGGAAGATGAGTGTAAAGAACTGAGAGCATGATGTAGATAAATTGGAAAGCCCTAACTCTCAGGTCTGTGTCTGGTTGACTAGGCTAGACTTCTTTCCTATTTTGGGTTGGCTTTTTATCCTGAATTGACTGATGAACTGAACATGATAGAAAGCTGCAAACAATTTTATCACTCAGGAACTTTCACTCTGTGCAGAATATACTGGACATGAACCATACTCAGAAGTTCTTGTTGAACAAAATGTCCAGATTTAATAGACACATCTGTGCATAACTATCACATGTGCATATTATTAGATTTCCTGTCAGCAACAAAATGGTTAGCTAGTTTAAGTGGTGTTAAGTGAGCTGAAATGATCTATAGCTTTTTCAGTGGTCATTGACAAAAATGAAGAGGTTTAACACCAGAGAATTCAACAAGGTGTATGTTGTTTTAAAACAGAACCAGCGAAGTTTTTGTGCTCAGCTTTGTCTGTTATATATATCCCTATATATATATCCCTATATATAGGGATAATTTCTTGAATCAAAGGCTACATCAAAGGCAAGAGAAGCACAAATGTAATTTTATTCATGTGAATAGTTCCATTGAATTTCTTCTTACTGCTACTTGTGTATTTCAGAACTTTATTAGAAAGTCTTGGAAATTTCATTTTGTATTCCAATTGAGAGAATGCTAAAGGAATGCATGGAAAAATTCAAAATTAATGAGTTCACATATCATTTACACATGCAGAATTGTTTCATGCAGAATGACAACAGGGAGGTGTACAATGCCTTTTATTTAGAGATAGAACCTGATTATTATCTTTTTAATGTTAGCAGAGAGAGGGCCATTGGTCACTGCAAAGTGGGTGCCTAAAGGCCTTTGACTTTTAGGGCCTATATATATAGACATGCCATAAATAGAATACATATGCTCATTACTAGACTTAGTAATATGTACACAGCAGCAGCAATGGATTTGTTAGGTCCCATAAACAACTACACTTAGGCCTGATTTCTATTTATCTGAGAAACCACCAATAAAAATCATGAAAATTAGATTTAATAAATGAAGGGATGATTTGGGTGGTTATTTTCCTTCTCAGACTTTGCTGAGACACATTGCCTTAGACTGACCTCAGGGCTGCTGTTACTCGATGAAGATGTGAGACACAGTCTTAACTTGTTATTATCAATAGATGGTAAGAAGTAGTCACAGTATTCAACAGGAGTAGGAGTATTCAAAGGGGAAGGAGTGTCCTCAGTCCTTACTGCAAAACCAGCAATTATTTTTTCTAAGTACAAGTGGGCAGTGCTTTAGCTGATAAGCAACTGTCCTGCTTCACAGGATAGGATAGGTCAGCATTTTGGGGACAATCACATCTGGAATGCCTCGATATGCACTTTGACCCACTGCTTTATATTCCTTCACATTGCAGAAAATGCAGTCCTAAAGTATATGACAAGGTCCTTGAGCCTGGCATTGCTGTGGGGAGAGAAAAATGGAAAAAGCTGAGAGATGTTGAGACCCACAACACGGGGCTTTTAGCCACAATCAGAGAGGAATACCTCACTTGAACTTTGTTTTCTCCTCTGCTCCACGAAACTTCTCCAAGTAAACCACTTAATCTCTTAAACAATTACTTAAAGCAGCTCAAATTTTCTACTTGGTCATGATGTTTTTATGTTCTTAATTGTATTTTATTAAAAAAAAAAAAAAGCTTCTATCTACAGTGAAACAAAACAAAGTTTACAGTTATTATAGGCTTTTGTTTTCTGTCTCTTCTGTAAGTACTTATTTTCTCCAGTCATTTTCAAGATTTCAGGCTAGGATCACCACAGCCTTTTATATTATATTATTTTCCTACCATGAAGTTGTTTATGTGTATTGTTTACCCAACAGACATTTCTCTTTCACTTGGTATATTCATTACTAAATAATTCTGTGAGAAGATACAGGCCACTGATTTTTTGCAATTTGCATCACCATACTCTAAGCTATGTTGAAAGCTAAGCTTTTTGGTCCTCTTGCTTTGGAAGTACATTAATATTTCTATGACCTTTACTAGATGGCAGATGAGAAGCATTAGGAATAAAATAACAAACAAACCAAAGGAAACCAATTTTTCAGAATGTGTATTTCTGCTCCTTGACTGGAAAGGAGTAAGAGGGAAAAGAATCTAGTTTAAAAAGAATATAAACTTCAGTTAGAGTTATGATAATTTTTTTATGTAGCTTATTTTTCCATGTCAAAATGTTGTTGTTTTTTTTTGGTAATTATTCCATTCACCATAATGCAAAAATGCATTTGAAGGTTTTTAATAGATATGCATATAGAAAATTTATAGACATTATATAGACTTTATTAGAGATATTTAGAAAGAAAAAGAATAGCTTGACAAGTTTATTTACTGTGCACATTGAAGTTATCATATTAAAAGCAGTCACTATGCTAACAACTACTTTACACAAAATGACTTCAAATCAATTCAAAGCTTGCTTGATGTGAAGAGAATTTCTGTGAAACAAGCTGCAGATGTAGTGGCTTTTTGTGTGGTGTAAACGATCTGCTCTAGAAGACTATACCTTTACAAGTCATTAGAAGACTGTAGAAGGAAAACCAAATAAATTCTACCCAGGAAACCAGTTCTCTCACGGCAGCATTGTTTTTCAGTGGTTTTACTACACAGCGGAAGCCACGTCTGTTCCTGTTCATTTAGGTGTCGATGTTATAACTGAAAGGAATAGATCCAAAAATGATTTTTAGTGACTTGAAATTTGTCTGCTTTATGAGGACCGTGTATAGATTAATAGCATCTATGATCCAGCAAGGTGTTTAAAATATATGAAGCAGCTGTCCCATGAACTAAACTATTTGTTCTCTGTTTTTCAGTTGGAGGAAAAATTGAGATTCTTTAATAGCAATTTTCTTTCATATGCTTTATAACCTATGCCAGAGCCTCAAGTGGAAGGATATTCTAGATGTTTTTTGTTGTTGTTGTTTTAATTAATTTTTATTTTTATTTCTCTTTAGGATAGTTTAGAAAAGTCATAAAGCTTAAAGATAACAACAGTCAATTCACGGTACTATGAATCACGTGAATCCAGAAGGGTTAAGATTAAATCAAGTTGTGCTATTCATAGGATTGACACTGATGTCAAAAGTCACCATCTTTACTAAGAGAAGCAATGCCATCACAGCCAGTAGAAGCAGGAACAGGCCTTATACTGAAAATGTCACATAACTTTTTAACTGCTACTTTGGTAAGATCTTCTGTTTCAATACCTGGTTACACAATTAGGATGAAAATATATACTTTTTAAAATCATCAGAACTTCTTCAGGAAAAAAAACAAAACAAAACAAAACAAAAAAAAACCAGCAACAACAACAACAACAAAAAAAAACAGTTTGAAAACATGCTTTTTATGGCTTTAACTGGTTTATTTGAAGTGAAGTGAGGGACTTTGTAGTTTGGATACAAGCATTTCCCTTCCATGTGCTGTTTAAGCCCAAGAGCTTGTTGCTCTTTGTTCAAGCCTCAGAGAAACAGAAAGTAACTAGATACTGACTTTTAAAAATACTTTTCCTCCCTTCTGTTTATTTTTTAGAATTTCCTCAGCTTGATCTAGCAGTATGGAGATATGGAGAAGTATCTTTTTTACAATTTTGATTTATGTAATGGAGTTCTAACACATATCTTTCACTCATAAAATGTAGAGATTCTGACTCTTACCCAATCTTTAAATTCAGAGCAAACTGTGCTGCACTATTGAGCTGAAAATCCATCCCATTTTAAATATAACTCCTATATCTTTAGATTATTGTTCTTTAATTATGCCATGTGTAAAATGTTTTTATACATAGCATCCAATCTGAACTTACTCAAGCGATGGCATTTCTCTTTGCAGTCAATGTTCTCGGCCCACTGCTGGCTTAAAATGTAATCAGTTTTCATCTGTTAGTTTGAATGGAATTTAAGTTTCTGTCCAAGATATAGCTGTGATGCTGCGTCACTTTGCACAAAGACAGTTCCTAGATTCTTACCCAAAGTCAGATCACTCTCTTCGCATTGCAGAGTTGGGGCTCTGAAAGATTTGAGTGCTTCTCAAGCATATAACATAGCCATTGTATCCAGTAAATAAATAAATAAATAAATAAAAGCAATTATTTTTATGTGGTACATAACAATTTAATAGGACATAGTAAACCGAATTTGCAGAAAAGACTATGTTGTCACCTAAAATGCTCACTGACTTATATTACATGTGTAGCTCTAGAACAGACAAGCACAAAAAGCCAAAGCAGGTTGCATCCTTCCTGTACCTGTGCATATGCTATGATTTTGTATGTGTACAAGCAAGTTCTAATTTAATGCATGCAGAAACTTGGATTGGATGAGAGCCTCTCCTTAAAAAATTCTGGTATCAGTGATTTCTGCACAATGAAAATGCAGACAGCCAGAAGTGACAGAGTGTCTGTGTTGGGCCAGACACTTCAAGAACCGGAGATTTTTTGCTCTACTTTTGGATAAACATTCTGCTGCAGTCTTATTAGGAGAAATGGTATACCTTAGTGTCCGTGCTTTCCTTGCTTAGCTGCCAGCTTCCTTTCCCTAGGGGCTTGTATATCCCGTATGACTCTGATTTGCACAGCAACATCAGGTATTTGGGTGCTCAATTTCCACTGTTGTTGCTGAGGATCTAACCTTTTTATTGATGGATGTTAGTTCTTTTCTGTGGATTTGCTGTCTTCTAGATCTTTGGTTTATATTCCCTACCTTTCAGTATTCCCACTGAGTCTTTGTTCTGCTCTTGAAAAGGCCTTTTGCCATAGGTACATTTTATAACCATTCACAGAAAGCCCTTAACTGTGGGAAAAGCTATTTCTTACAAATCTGTTGCACACATATGTCCCTCATAAGCCCTCTGGAGAAAAAGCAAGCAGGAGAGGTAACTGACTAGCAATATAGATGATTTGGGTAATACAACTCACCAGAGACCTCAAGACAGAAACTGCTGAGCAAGCTGCCCGGCTGTTCAAATTCCAGTAAACTGTTTGGAATATTTTGGCCCCAGGAGCACATTAGAACTTCCCCAACTACAAAGTTGCACTTGGTCTTCTCTTTCTCAGGGGTACATCTCCCTCATGTTACCTACACCAACACCGGAAAATACAACAGTATCAAAACACAGGCCTGACTACTGGCACTCCATCCTTCCTATTTAACTGCTTTCAGTTTAAGCATGAGAGAGTTTTAAGTATGGATGCAGGCCACACAGTCTTAATTAGCTTCCAGACCAATGAACATAACCTGGCTCCTTTTATTTACTACTATACACAGAGTAGTATTTAATTCTTAAAAAAAATAACATTTCACTCTGTAACATCTAAGCATCTTTACAAGGCACACTTAGGACATGTGATGAGAGGGGCTGCTCCTCTGTAATAATTTTTCGTTAATAATGCACTTATATAAATGTGTATACATGTGTTTGTATGGGTCTCTCTCTATGTACATATGCGTCAATTGATAGCACATTTACAGCATCATTTTCTACCTTAGTTAGCAAGGCAATCCAATACAGAGAGCAAGTTTCAAGCCTTTGACTTAAACTCCCCCTTGTTTTTAATAAGATTTTAACTCTCAACACTAGTAAGTCGTAAATATGTGAATAACATAATAAGGACTACCACAAACACACACCTCTTTGCTATTTTATTTTTGTTCTGTATTCAAATTATCCACACCTCTTCACATTTCCTTTCTCCTCAGTAGCTGGCACTAAGGCTCACTTAGGCTTGTAAAAAGGACTGACACTTTTTAAACTGTAATTGTTTCTCGTTGAGTCTTGTTGAAAGAATTCTGAGGACTAACTGGAGTCACCATTTGTGAAAAAGGTCCTTGGTGATTATACTGAGATGAGCTTCCATGTTTTGCTATGTACCTATAGTTACAAAAAGACAGAGGGAAAACAAACAAACAAACAAAAAAAAGACCTTTAAAATACATTCTCATATTGCTGAACACACCTTCTTCTCCCCCCTCATTCCATTCTTCATAAAGACTTATGTCCATTTGCCCCAGAGATGGTGGGACCTGTTCTAGAAGCCTAGTCACCGTGACAAAGGGTACTGGGGTGGGGTTTAGAAAATATTCTGGGGACAGTCTGAGAAGGAACAACTTACACAAGACTTCTGTATTCTTCTAATATTTTTTCAGGAAGAGGCACTATAAATAGTCTTATACCTAAAGCGTTTTATAATGCATCTCCTCGGCTGCAAAACCTCTAATCAGAAGTAGGGCTGACACAGAACTGACCACAGAACCATGTGTTCATTCAGTCTCCAATAAATAAATGAACAAACAAATAAATAACCAAATAGATTTTTTCTTTTGACCTGAAGATTACTCTTGAAGACTCCAAAGCAACTTGCTGAAAAGGTGCAGCCCTTCTCTCTAAAATTAAATGAAATGCAGTGCTATCTTATCTTAACTACTGCAAACCCAAGACATGGTCATACAACTAGTGGTGCACATAAAATATTCCTTCCTATGAAAAAAGGTAAACAGTGCTGTCAGAATTTAACTGCACTAAAAAACTTTGCAACCTTATTTTCTGCCTTCATCTAGGGATTACCTAGAAATAAAAACACAATACAGCAATAAAGCTTGACATATAAAAATACCATTAATATTCCAAGTTGAAGAAACCATGTTTCTGATGTTCTATATCTACAACAGCATTGAGTTCAGAATGCTTAAAACAAGTATAAACAACTTTGTTCCACATAGTGTGGAAGGCCCTTGCAATAGAAGTACAACACAGAAGTGGTTGCATGCTGCCTGTTGTAAGTGATATTACTGATACTTTTCACAGGAACGTTTATTAGACTATGTTAGCAGTAGAGAAGCAAATCTTTATGATACCCATTATTGTCTCCAGGAGACTGACCATATATTATAGACATGTCAAATTAAGCAGCTATATAAATATCCACCACGTGCAATCACTTGCTACTTTCTAAGATATTATTACGGATTTGACTTGAGAATTATTAAAGCGAGAAAATAAGGGGTTGCCATTTTAAAAAACAGTAAGAATGGCATGATGCCCCATGTGAAAATCATGTAGAAGTGAATTGTTGTAGTCTAACCCCAAGTTCCAGGAATAAGCTCTCTTCTCTTCACCTCTCCACTACAGTCTAGCTTGACTTGTGATCACTAAAATTAACAGATTTATCTCACTTACTTTACAAAGGGAAAAAATAAAATGTTAAGCATCTCTGTTTTATAGGCATCACTAAATAATGTTGGGGTGGGGAGAGGGAGATTCCCAGCATCTGTAATACTTTTACAAAGCAGTTTCACAGAGTGATATAATCCTCCACCTTAAGTCAGTGAACACTATCGTACTCCCAAAGTAGCTGCAGAGAAAGTAAAAAAATGTCTGTTGTAATTTTCCAGCCAGGGGTACTAATCTCAGGAGAAGGTGCCATTCAGCTCAGAAAGAGCGTGGTAAAAGCTGGTCTGCAGGTTCTGGGTGTGATCTTCAAAAAAGACAGAAGATTTTGTCCAGGTTCTAGAAAGACTCCATTAGCACAAAACAAGAACCCTACTCTTCCTCTCCACCAAAAACTAGCAAAATTGATCCACTTTGAACTGCACCCACAGTAACACCTGTAGGAAGTAAAATGAAGTAACAGATGTGTTTTCCATTCTTAGATCACAGTGGCATCTGTCTTTTTGCTCTTGAAATCTGGTATCTGTCTGAAGCCTGTCAATGATCCTTGCTGAGATGCCTTTGCCTTTTTATTGTCTGACATTTACAAGCAAGTTGCTCTTGCATCGAGCTGCTCTGAGTTCAGTTTTATTAGGCTATGCAGCCTCAAAACTGTTGCGTATTTTCATTCCCTGACAACAAGGACTGTGACTACAGGTGACTGTCTATTTTCTAAGTCTAACCACAAGAGAAAAAGAGCTGAAGTGAATGCATGGTGGATAGCATAGATGGAAGTCAGTGCACTGCATTTTGCACAACAATGAAACAGTTGACAAGGTGAGTTCTTCAAAGGCCAGGCAGCTCCCTAAAGCTTCTCAAGCCTTTTCTGGAAACTTTCCACTGGCAGTGTTAAAAAGAATTGAAATGTGTTGTGAACAGAATCTTAAGGCCAATTAAACTGTTTAATGGAAGATAAATTTATCAGGAATACATGGAAACTTGGATAGTGTCACCATGTCCTAGATCATTCTGGAAAATAAGAAATCAGAATCTAAAGAGAAAACACAACATCATAAAAGAGGGAGGGGAAACAAACAGCTACTAAGCTATTCTGAAGCTGGGAGAAAAGCTGGTTTGGACCTATGACTATGTTTGTTCTCATCAAAGAAATGGGGTTTTTCACTTGTTCTGAAGTGTCCATCTCTGTTTAAAATAAGGGGAGACACTTACATACTTCAGAAATGTGGTCCATAGTTTTAACAGGCCTTGAGCAGGCCAAAAAAGAGTAAAGATTATTAATTCAGTTCATGAAGTAGTCATGATAGTGATGTGAGGGAACAATGATTTTGTAGTCACAGGGTCCTGGGCTGCCTAAATGTGGGGGCATGGCATGATGGTATCTCACTGCCGTCTGAGTAAATCCACCCATTTTTAACAACTATTTTTGTATAGCAAATACCCATTTCATGGGAGTCTGGTGACTCCATTGTGGAAGTGCCATACCACACAGTTTTATTTAGGGAATTTTTACTTTGGCATTGATGGTTATCTTCCAGAACACACAGATTAATAAAAAAAAGAAAAGAAAAAAAAAAAAGTCACTTAAGCTGTGACTTAGCCACCACAGGCAAGCCAAATACATCTCAATGTAGAAATGTTTAGAAATCCTGATTTACCTTATTGTTAAGATACCTTCCCCATACATACTTTATTAAGTTTCATAAAAGTTAAAAAATCTCAAGGTGCTTTCAGATTACCACGTCAATAATGTGGTGGGATCCAACACCAACTGTTCTGCATTTTTTAAGCCAAGGGAATGTCATACTTAACACTTATTTTTTCTTTAAATAAATAAATGCAATTAGGATTTTCCCTGTAATCTTTATGAACAAGCTGAGAAATATACCTCATACCTACCCATGCATTTGTGCAATTATTGATGGGGATGTTGATGGAAGATTAGAATTTGCTGGGTGGGTTGCTGACCAATGAACCTTGCCAGTGTATCCAGGGATATTTGGAGTGCTAAAGAAAAAAAAAAAAAGTTAAAGAGCAGGGAGCAAGAAATAGTAAATTAAATGACTACAGACTTGGCATATGATTTACAGATCAGTTTTAAAGTAGCTAGTGTTTCTCTATCAAAGATGTTTAGGGTAAAAATTCATCATAATATAATGAGAAGTCCTTAAAATATATAAACTGGCATAGCTTCTTTGAGATAAGTAAAACAGCGTTATACTGATCTCATTGATTGATCCCAAACCCTTGTGTTAGGTATGGCGATATATTTTTTCTTTTTTTTTTTTTTTTTTTTCAAATTTTTTAAGTACTTGGAGTATCTGTACTATCATTCATTATCATAAGCCACATTTCATCACTTCATGTCAAAGAAAATATGGGGTCATGTGGTTCACAAAAAAAACAAGGAAATAATTTTTTTTTTTAATGTGATATAGATTTAGCTGATATTTACATTCCCCGTTAAAAAGGAATTGAGATAGTAGGCTTTAGGCCAACAGGTGTGATTTCATGTGGCATAAAACACAAATGATTTCCCCAATAAGTCTAAAGTTCTCTAAATTTCCTCTAGAATATATTTACATGTTTGTGCAACATTACTAATATTGCTAAGACACATCAACTTAAAATTTAGCTTGAGTGCACTAGAGGGCTAAGACAGTGTGTTCAAAATTCTGGAAAACTAAACCCCTTTGTTAATTATGAACCTAAGTTTTAATGTGAAATCTAAAAAGAAAGTTTCTTAAAGTGGCTAAGGAAAGTATTCTACTTATTTGAGGTATAACAACAGAAAATTTTTCTAGAAAATGGAAGACGAAACAGAGATGGACCAATATCAAATAAATAAATAAATAAATAAAAATATATGAGTACAGAATGATAATCCATGAAGATTAAAAATAAAACAATCTAATACCCCAATATGACAGCTTTTTTACAGCACAGTTATTCAGAGTGTACCATCAGTACTGTTCTACACTGACAGCTCAAAATAGGACTCCACTGAATTATAAACACATTCAGCCTCCCCATATGGGGGTAAGTGCCCATGGCAAGCTGTTTCATCTACTGAATCAAGAAAATAGTTGGGACTATATAAACCTTACCTGTATTACTTTTTGTGGGTCATTTGACTACATGAATGGTAAATAATCTTAGATATTTTTTGGTTCTGCTGTATTGTGGGCAAAAATAAACAGTTCATTTAATTAAAAAGTGCATAGAGCTATTTGTTCCAGTAAGGCTGATTATCTGCTTCTCTGCAACTAAGTTCAGCACAGGATGCAAAACTGGACATATGAGAGAGATCAAGTTTATCAGATACTTCTTTGAGTTGTGTACTACAAAACCTGTCTTTGAAAATCCTTACCAGAATAGTTGAGGTAATGACAAAATGCTGTATTGATCTACCACAGTTACAAGGGACTACGCTTGTCACAGGAGCATTGGCAGTAGATGTTGTAGTCTGCACCCATAGCTGGCAGAAGGATAATCTAGTTATTTTATTATTTTATTTTATTTTTATTTTTATTTTATTTTATTTTTATTTTATTTTATTTTATTTTATTTTATTTTATTTATTTATTTATTGGAGTAACCTTGCACAAACCCATATATCCACACACTGGTACATTCCCTGCATTACACTGCAGTGTGTGACTCTCCATAGAAGATGGCTTTGTAGTATCAGTACAGCAGTTCCGTAGAACTTAGGAAACTGTTCCCTGTAGGGAATCCCCAAGTAGTTGGCTGAGCAAGTAACAGACCTGCTGTCTGTCTTGACAGCAGCCACACAGTGGCAAAAAAGAGGCCTGGAAATCTGGTATAGAAGTGAAACATGTTTTCAGAATTAACCAAAACGGCTTGCAGACAAAGTTGCCTTTTCATGTCAAAGTAGACGATTGTCAGGTTATGTGCAGATGAAGTAACACTGTGTAGAAAAATTCATTTCCATACACAGGGATCCCACTGAGGTATTCAATGGACATTGAGTGTGTGTGAGTATAAGCCCATGCATTCAGCCAAACCAAACTTGAAAATGTGGTATTGTTCTGAGGGAGTCAGGCTGTAAATAGTTTTACTACTCTGGCAATACATTATAAAAAAAAGACATATCTCTCACATGTAATAAAGAAATTTCATTGATTTATTTGAAATTGTGTGAGCATTGCTGAGAAAAAATCACAACAAGAAGCCCCAATATTATCTTGCAACATTTTATGAGCCTATTAGGAATTAACTCACATAATAACTATAAAACTGTGGAGATATTCAAATACATTATGCACTGTGAGGGATTTGATTGATAAAATCTTCTGACCTTTAAAGCTTGAAAAACAAGAAGAATAGAGAAAAGTATAACAAATGACAAAATGTGACCCAAAAATCAAGCCTGAGAGATGACCAAAGGGGAAGATATAGACTGTCTGTTAGAAAGGTTTCACAGAAATCATCAGCTTCACAACATGTGGAAAGAATGTAGCACTGAAAGAGAAGGGAGATGTGCAGGGAGAAGCCAAAAGTACCAGGATAGTAAGAAACAGTAAAGCAGCTGCTCTCCTGGGAACCTGCAAAGAAGATGCAAAAATGTGTTGCGGTTATCTATGTGATAAAGCAGAAGAAACTGAGGTTAAAAAAATACCCCTTTGGTTTTTTGTTTTTGGATCATGCTGTCTAGCTCTTGTGTGTCTTCTCTGATGAGCTGCTAAACCAGATTGTTGCTGCTAAAGAAAACAACTAAATGCCAGGCTACCACCGGGCAACATACAAAACTCCTCTGTGGTTATGCTGTCGTCATCAAGCTTTCTTTCTGTAACCATGACATCTCTCTTGTTCATGTACTTCCTTGTTATCATCCCAGAAGCTCTTAGTCCTAATGGTAGGAAACATACCATGCTAACAGCTGAATAAGCTGTAAGATTTTTCAAGTGAAATGTAGTGATTCTGAATGTCCTCTGCTTTGGTGTATTTCTGTATTGTATGTCCATCTCTGGATGTCTTTGAAGATTATTTCCCAGTAGTCTTTGGGAAAAACATTGTGGATCTAATTTAGTTACCTGCTTGTACTGACAGAAACACTTGAGATGCCTTAGGGTATCTGAGATATCCCTCTACAGTACAGGACCCACAGAAGACCCATACTGCTATGAAGCGACAGCTGAAAGAGATGTTGTAGGATTTACAAGGTTTGGATGCCCAGGTTTGCCACATAAATTTCAATCCAGCTGTCTTTAGAGGAGCAAAATCAAGATTGCCTCAAATCATTTTTTAATTCTTGAAAACCTTGGATCTAGCACTTCAACCTGAGCAACTGAGTGAGGCATGCAAATTTGTTGTGCAAAATTTCTGTCTCGTGAAAGCAGCCCTGAAGATTTGTATCTTGCACTCAAGAGCAAAGAGTTCTTAACATCCTACTCTTTCTTAGAAACATTGTTTCATAAATCCTAAAGAACAAAATCACCAGATAAAATCATTGATTAGCTTTTCTGGTCAGTGCAATTACAAAATGGGTGAGTCTCACTCACAATACGTAAGACTTGCAAGCTGGTTTCCACCTCAAATTCCCTGGCAGGAAGATCTACATGTCACTCATTTATAGTTCCTCTTTCTCTCCATGATCCTATTTGCCAAGTAGAATAACCCATGGTAAAAATATCTCTGCTGTGATGTTATGTCAAGAAATTCAATGCATACAGACCCACTGTTGGGAAGGAATATACCTGAGAGAACTTGTGAAGTCAAAACAAGGTGATCCACGTACAGTGAAGAATGGGACCAATAGGATTTTTGAATAGAGCATTCTTGGCTGCATTTCGTACCCTTATCCCTCAGCCATCAAACAGTATAGGGAATTTACAAAAGGATTTGGGATTTCTAAAAGGATTAAAACACCCAAATGGTGATTTCCCAGAAATATTTTGGACCAGGTTGAGCTAGACCATTTTGTTCCTACAATTTCGGACCATTTTAATTTTGTATTCAAAATTTTCAAGCCCATTTTTTTAGTATAAATATATATATATATATATCAGAAACAAAAAATCAAGTCAAGACAGCAATAAAATCTAATTTGGAAAATGTCAAATTAGGATATTTAAGCATTCCCCCCCCTACCCCCCCGCCCCATCCTGCCACCCCCCTGAATGACTCAAATTGGAAAACCACTAAAAATACATACATGGTGGACAAGCTGTCAGTTTCTGAAGAACAGACACATTGTGGGAAAGCTCTTAGGCAGTCCATGTAAATGACTGTGCAAGGTGCAAGGCAGCAGAGGGTCCTGCTAATTGTGGCCTGTGAGGTTTCTGTGGTAACTTGAAATGATAAGGGATGCATGCACACAGTCAGTTGGAAGCTGACTGTACACTGAAGAAATATGACTGAAGTCACTACAGATACACTGGTGTGATAGTAGCATTTTGCCCAATGTGCTTGGGAAACTGAGAATAAAGGATAGTTTCAAAGAACAGCTTTGCGCAAGAACCAGGACTTGAAACGCTTAGGACTTTATCTTCCTGGAAACTTAGTGTATTAAGTTCCCATTTCAAACAACCGCTCCCAGAAATGGACTTTGGTCAGATCCCAGTCTCTCTCCAATATAGAGAACCTCCATGGCCTTGGCCAAGTCACTTCAGCTTCCTCAGCCTTCATCTTTCAGAAGTAAGTGGCATAATCTGCTTTCTCAGTGTTAAAAGCATGAACCAGCTGATGCGTCAAAAGTACTGCTGAGAAAACAGCACTCTGGTAGATCGCACATGTCTTGTGTAAGCACTGCCCTCTACTGAGTATTATGAGAGCCGATGAATTATGAGTAGCAAGTTTTAAAATGCAAATGACAGACAGATTTTTGTTTAACTCTGGAGGCAGAGGCTTTTAATGTGGAACAAGAAAATGTAATCTCTATTCTAACTTCTTTTGTCAAATTTCAAGAGGTTGCAGTAAGTACCACAGTGGGAAATCAAGCAGTGGCTGTACTGTAATAGAAGAGACACACAAAAGAGAAGAGC